CGTATCCCATCCCACCTCATCCTGATCTCCATCCCCGTCGCCCTGGGTGCTCCGGCCCCATTCCCAACATTCCCGCAGGAGAAATCCAAGCTGGAGAGCGAGCTGGCCAACTTCGGCCCCCGCATCAACGACATCAAGAGGATCATCCAAGGCCGCCAGTGAGAGATGTGGGAGCTCAAGGAGAAGATGAACCAGGTCTAGGGGCGGGGACGGGAATTTTGGGGGTGATTCCGGCCTTTTTGGGGCTCCTGACATCCCCCCCGCCGCAGGTGGAGGACGAGGTTTTTGAGGAATTCTGCCGGGAAATCGGCGTGCGGAACATCCGGGAGTTCGAGGAGGAGAAAGTCAAGTGGCAGAACGAGATCGCCAAGAAGCGGTAGGGGACACGGTGACACACGGGGACACATGCGGGGACATGCGGGGACACACGGGTGACATGCAGAGTGACACGTGGTGACACGGGACACACGGGGACATGGGACACGGGAGGCCATGGGGACACGGGACATGCATGGTGACATATGGTGACATGCGGGGACACACGGGTGATGTGCAGAGTGACACGTGACACGGGACACACGGGGACATAGGGGACATGGGAGGACATGGGGACACAGGACACGCACGGTGACATATGGTGACACTGGGACACACGGGTGACACACAGAGTGACATGTGGTGACACAGGACATGGGGGACACGGGAGGACATGGGAACACGGGACACAGGGACGCTCATGGGGACACGTGGTGACATGCGGGGACATGGGTGACACGCAGAGTGACACATGGTGACAGGGGACATGGGGGACACGGGGACGCGCGGTGACATATGGTGACATGCGGGGACACACGGGTGACACATGGGGACACGCAGGGACGTGTGGGGGGCACACATGGGGGCACATGGGGACATGTGGGGATGTGTGACATGGGGACACATGGGGACATGTGGTGTCACATGTAGAGCCCCATTGGGTGCCCCTTAGTGCCCCGTTGGGTGCCCCGCGATGCCACGCGTGGTGTCACATGGTGTCACCGTCTGTCATGTGGTGTCACCCAGTGCCATGTGGTGTCACCCAGTGTCACCAGGGACCACCCGATGCCCCTTGGTGCCTCATTGGGTGCCACGTGATGCCACATGCGGTGCCCCACGGTGTCACCCAGTGCCCCATGGGGTGCCACACGATGCCACACGTGGTGCCCCACAGTGTCATGTGGTGTCACCCGGTGTCATGTGGTGTCACCCAGTGCCACGTGGTGTCACCTGGTGCCACCCAGTGCCCCTTGGTGCACCGTTGGGTGCCACGCGATGCCACACACAGTGCCCCGTGGTGTCACATAGTGTCACCCGATGTCATGTGGTGTCACCCAGTGCCACGTGGTGTCACCCAGTGTCACCTGGGGCCACCCGGTGCCCCTTGGTGCCCCATTGGGTGCTCCCCGGTGCCCCTTGGTGCCCCATTGGGTACCACATGATTGCATGCATGGTGCCCCATGGTGCCCCGTGGTGTCATGCACTGTCACCCGGTGCCACCCGGTGCCACTCGCAGTGTCCCCATGCCAGGCTGGAGTTCGAGAACTAGAAGACGTGGCTGGGCATCCAGCTGGACTTTGAGCGCAACCAGCTGCGCGAGGACCAGGACAAGGTGCAGGGCTGGGAGCAGGGGCTGCGCAAGGACGAGGCCGAGATCGAGAAGCTCAAGAAGGTGACAGGGACCCCGGGGACACAGGGAGGACATGAGGGACATGGAGAAATGGGGACACAGGGGGACATGGGGACACAGGGCAGGGCTGGGAGCAGGGACTGCGTGAGGACAAGGCTGAGATGGAGAAGCTCAAGAAGGTGACAGGGACACAGGGGGGACATAGGGGACACCAGGGACACGGGAGGGACATGGGGGACACGGGGGGAAGACATGAGAATGTCTCTCCCATGGAGAAATGGAGGGCACAGGGACACGAGGGACACGCGGGGGACACGGGGGACATGGGAGACAAGGTGCAGGGCAAGGACCCGTGTCCTCATGTCCCCTCAGGTGTCCCCATGTGACACCCCTGTCCCCACACGCCGCCCTGTCCCCATGTCCCCCACATTATGCCCCTGTCCCCTCGCGGTCCCCACATGATGCCCGTGTCCCCTGTGTGACACCCGTGTCCCCATGTGCCCCGTGGGACACTCACGTCCCCATGTCGCCCGTGGGACACTCGTGTCCCCAGGAGGAGCAGCGGCTCATGAAGATCATCAATGAGACCATGGCCCATGTCCCCACATGATGCCTGTGTCCCCATGTGACCCGTGTGACACCATGTCCCCCATGTGACACGTGTGTCCCCATGTCCCCCATGTGACATT